ATGCTGCGGCCTCAGTCCTGGGCTATCTGTGAGAAGGTCCCAGGGGCTGAGGGCAGGGCAGTCATAGAATCCTAGAATGGCCTGGGTTGAAAAGGACCCAATGCTCATCCAGTTCCAACCCCCTGCTGTGTGCAGGTCGCCAACCAGCAGCCCAGGCTGCCCAGAGCCACATCCAGCCTGGCCTTGAATGCCTGCAGGGATGGGGCATCCACAGCCTCCTTGGGCAACCTGTTCCAGTGCCTCACCACCCTCTGGCTGAAAAACTTCCTCCTCATATCCAACCTAAACCTCCCCTGTGTCAGTTTAAAACCATTCTCCCAGTCATTCCCCCAGTCACCATGCCTGCTGATTTTTTCCTATTCTGGAGGCCAGTGTGAAGAGCAAATCACCTGTGGCTGGCTAACTTCAGTGCCCCCATATAAAATCCATGTACATAATGACTTCATATACACTCCCAAAGGCTAATGCCTGAAATCTGGCTCATTAAAATCCAAACGGCACACAAGTAAAATAGAGTTTACCAACACGGCAGATTTGTGCATTGAAAAGTGGGATACAGTCAGATTTCCTAATCATTTATGAGCAACAAATAGTCAGAAGCTTTCCTAGTTTTTGCAGATTCTGGAGAGAAAATCTCTTTGTGTTGCACACAGGGACAGCACTTGCTAATGCTGAAGACACTCTTGGGGCAGGGTTTGGTGCAAATGGCATTAGATGTGTACTGCTGGCCTGCAGGGATTTATGCAACCCTCTTCCAGGCTAACTTCTTGAGAGCAGCTGGAATAAGCCATGTGCAGCATCTTGCTTGCACGTTTGTGTCCTGAGAGTGCTTCCTGCTGCTCAGCTCGATGTGCAAAACCTCTCTGTGGAGAGGAGGGTGCCAGCAGGGAAGAGCAAGGAACAGATTTTCTGTTGTGAAGCCACCGAAGCGGCTTTGTTCTGTGCACTTTGTTTCAGCGTTTCCTCAGTAGGGATGATGTTACTTGCAGTCTGAAGAGCTTTGCAGTTTGGAGTATAAGATGGTTTAGAATTGGGCCCAATTTATATGGAATGAGTTTATTTTCACTGTAATGGCTTCCTCTACGAGGAGAGTGTTTATGGCCCTTCCCTTTGGAATCGTTGTCGCTCAGACTAGGCTGTCTAGACAGCTCTGTTTTCAGGCATATTCACTGCTCTGTGCCACTACAGTGGATAATAATATATATCAAAGCCATAATATTGCCAGCTAAGGCAGGCTCTGAAGAGGGAAGTGGCTCTCAATAGGGAGAAAGGTAAAAAGTCCAGTTCCTGTCACTGCTGCACAGGAGGGGAAGGTCCCCAGTCTTCTGCTCCTGCAGTGTGCAAATGGTGGGAGTGGGAGCCCTGAGGCAGGACCCAAGGGTTCTGGCTCTCGGATTTGTCTTTTTAAAGTACTGATTCTCTTTGCATAATGGGTGAGAGTATCTGGAGCAATTCAGGAAGAGCAATAAAGCTTTTAGTTGCCTACTTCAAATAATACATTGTTTAGAATTCATTTCCTTCATGAGGAAGTAGGTAGTGATCATGCTTTGGTAATGGCTGCACTCAAGGAAAGGGAATAACCTTTTCCTACCAGCTCTGGATTCCAGGTCAGACAGAAGTTCTTATCAAACCTGATCTTGTTTTCATACAATCACAGAATCACTCAGGTTGGAAAAGACCTCCAAGATCCCCAACTCCCATCCCAGCCCACCCCACCGTGCCCACTGCCCACATCCCTCAGTGCTACATCTCCACGGCTCTGGAACACCTCCAGGGATGGTGACCCCACCACTGCTGGGCAGCTGTGCACTGCAGCACCGCTCTTTATGTGAAGAATTTTTTCTTAATATCCAACCTTATGTACCATCTCCTTCAAGGACGCTCAAGAAGCATGGAATGATTTGCTGTGCATGACGTGGCCAAACCACGGGTGATGTTTCCCTGTGTCCTTGAGTTCTACAAGCCCATCTTTTTACTCCCTTTGACAGCTTGGTGAGAAATCAGAATATTGTAGAGGCATAATTAATTTCAAGTAGATGCCCACTGTGCCCTTCTGCACAGCCTTTATGATGTTAGGGAGTGTTTAGATAACTTCTTTTAGTACATCTTAAAGACATTTGTAAGTGAAGAACAGATGACTCTATAGAAATAAATTTAGAGAGAAAGCTCTTCTTTTTTTAAAGAAACCAAAATGCATTGCACAGCCTTATTGAATTAAATTAATCACGAGTCCAAATTTTTAACACCTGTACCAGGATTTCTGCACTTCCCATGAAAATGACTAGGTGAATTTTGCATTAGCAGGCCTTTGACCTGCAAACCCCTGGGGGAGCACAGAAATGCCCCTGAAGCCTTTGGATAGTAGAAGTGGTCTCCAGGATGTTGAATATGTGTAGTTTAGAGTGCAAATATGGGCTTGGGCTCCCAGGGATCCCTTGACAAACATAGAGAAAAAGTGAGTGCCACTGAGTTATATCTGCCTTCACACAGTGGGAATATGGACAGTGATATCAAATGCTGTTTCTGGTTATATATACAGTGTCTGTATAATGTACTATGTACATATATGTTGTGTGTGGGGCTGGTTGGAAGCTTTAGCACAGCTATTGGGGCCATGGTGGCTGTGAACCTGGTGTTCACCTGTGGAGAGATCCGAAAGGAAGTCATCCATGGGAATATCCATCTGTTCTGTATCACTGACTCCAGTATCTCTGTTAAGAGGATGCATTATATAATCCTTTTCAGACAAGTGTCATAGTCTGTATTTTAAGTTTGCTGCCCTTCAGGCAGGCTGTTGCAGAATCTCATTGCTTTGATGGTTCGAAACTTCTAATTTCCTACTTACCTGTATTCACAGGCAATTTCAGCTCATTTGTTCTTCTGCCTCTATGCTTTAATTACATATATACTCGTTTATGTATTTCCTATTAGTGGTGTTTCAAGGTTGTTGAGACTGTTTTATAATGAAAAAGAAAAGAAACACTTGTGGTGGTTTATAGCTAAAATGAGGTAGAAGGAAGACTTCGTGGCATCTCAATAAATAATATCTCACTAGGAACCAAATCAGGTATTCACGTAAAATATAGCACTTCCTTTAGTCTGGGACACAGGAACGTGAGGAGCTGAGGTCCTCTTTGATGGTCTTTCCTGGCCGGCTGTCCTGTATGCAAGGTGGAAGGAAAGACAATGTCCTGCTACAGCTAAAATCTTAAAGTTCTTCACATTCAAGTACAAACAAAAAGATACAAAATGTGCTCGATCTGGGTTGCCAGCAGAGATGATGCTCAGCTATAAAGTGTCTGCCCATTTCAGGAGTACATTTGCGGGAGGATCTAAATAAACCCCTTTCAAACAGAATCAAAGCCACGATGGTTACAAAAACCCTCTCATCCGCTGCCTCATCTCCCTTGGGAGAACTAACATCTGGCGTTGGAGTCTGCTATGAGTGGAGTAGCTCTTGCAGCTCAAAAACCATCATCCTGTTCTACTTCTCTGACTAATTCTATGTCAAAGGACTGATCTGGCCTCTGCTTAATGTTCTCCGAGTGAAAGTAATTAAAAATTTCCAGACGTCAATCATATGGAGCCAATTAAGCTTTAATGTGATCAAGAGCTGACTTTGAGATTTGCCACGTCTTCCATGGCTTGAAACACTGAATGAATGAATCCAGCAGAGGTGATGAGTGTGGACATGTTAGATGTGATGTGACTTAAAGCATAAATCTCCTGTATGAGTAACAGGACGCACAAGTTCAAAGTTTCATCATTACTTTTCAGCTTTTTGAGAGATAGAAAGTCTTGGAGAGACTGTGGCTGCAGTTCCAGGATGGCTTTCAGGTCTAATTCCTTTGAGGCAGGGACCTGAATGGAGGGTCAGGTAGGGGTGAGGGCAAGGCTGTGGGCATGGCACAGCTCCCATGGCAGTGGGCACAGCCCTGAGTTCTGGAGCTCAGGGAGCGCTGGGATGTTGCTCTCAGACATAGAGTTACATTTTTAGGTAGCCTTGTGTAGAGCCATGAATTGGACTTAAAGATTGTCCTTGTTTTGAATGCGATAGTGAGCGGTAATTGCACTGTGCATCTCTCATTTTGTATCTTCTTCTTCCCTTCCTTTTCTGTCATATTAAACTGTCTGTATCTTGAGACTTACCATTTTTCTGATTCTCAATGGGGCAAGCAGAGAGTGAACAAATGGCCGTGTGATGCTGAGCTGCCTGCTGGATTAAACCACAATGATGATCTTTGTGGTGTGATGATCCCTTCCAGCTTGGGATATTCTAAAATTCTGTGAAGTAAAAAATTCTAGCTGTACTATTGCTTTGGTGGGCTTTATTGCACGTCCAGGTTTCAAGTGCTGTCAGCAGGAACAGGCCAATCTGGTGACCTCATGCTCAGAGGTGTGGCTCCAGACCTATTTATCTCCTATTCATAGTTTGGATCAAGGAGGAATTTTTTCCACATCACATTACAGTGTACCATTTGTCCAAAAAGACTCAGTTCAGAGTTAAAGATGGATGCAGTTTGAGGTAGGACGTCTACATACCTTGATAGGATGTGGTT